TATATATATATATATATATATTATGCTTTTGTTTATGCCTATTTAACTTTATCTCACATAGGAAGTAAGAGTGAGATGTATCTCACTCTCTTTCTATCATGTTTCTTGTCTTTGGTTAAACATCATTTGCAAGGTGAGCATCAAGGTGTTAATGGTGAAGCATAAACTTTGTGTTTTGTTCTTTAGGTGTATTCTAATAGGATGTGATATTGAGACTTGTATAATGCAATACCTCTTCTTTCTTTTGTCACTTCCTTATTGTGACTTTTTATTTGAGTTATTGTTGGTTTTTGAGGTGGATTACTTCAGTTTTTCTATAACCTACAAAATTTGAGCTTTGAGATAAGTCTTTATTTTTGCAACCATCAACTGATAGTTTTCACCTGTAAATATAGAAGGTGAAGGTACACGAAAGCCATTTTAGTATTTGAAGTATTTTTATGGATTTCTTGTTGATTTTTTCTCACTAATTTTTTCGGAGTCTAATAATTCCTAATAGATTGACGAAGTTGTTGATACCATGTTGAAAAATAGAACATAAAACAAAGCTATATGACTATGTGAAAATATAGCTAGTTAAAAAAAATAGGTGTATAACTTCACATATAAAAAGGAGCAAAAATTAATCTGATATATTTAGATTATAAAATAATTTTTTAAAATTGAAAGTATTTATAAAGAGCTTAAATATTGAAATTAATTAACTCTTCATTGAGTAAAAGTAAAAGGAAATTATAACTAACCTAACAAATAAGCATTTTTTCTACAACTACAGTTTTTTTTTTTTTTTTTTTTTTTTTTTTTTTTTTTAACATAAGCAACCTTTAAAACTTAAAAGAAAAAAAAAAAAAAAACTGCTTCAAACTTTAAAATTAATTTGCAAGTTAGAAAAATCTCATCTGCCAGTAGACGGAATGTAGTAATTTAATCGAGAAGAGACACCATTGTGCAAAGAAACCATTAGATTAATCTAAACTGATGGAACAATATGACATCAAGCTATTTCATCCAGAGATACAAAAGCAATTTAGACTCTTGAACGAGCCTGATTATTTATGACCAAAATTCACTACCCACTCTTGCTTTTCATAGTTATTATTCCCTCAATAATGGGATAACTGAGAACCATTACATAAGTGACTAGGAAAAGTTGACCAAACATTTCTTCAAAATCCTTTACATTGAATAGTCTCCATATACCACCAAAGAAGCTAACAATGTTGGCCAATAGTAATAGAACCAATGGAGCCATGAACACAGCTGCACCTTGGAAATCGAACCTACCTTGCTCATATTTTTTGAGCTTCTCTTTGTCAATGGCTTTGTTTGACAAGTTGAATTTTACCTTGTTTAACCCCAACCACTTCTTGATTCCATCTATAATTGCAAATACACTGGTAACTGACTTCAGAATCCAAATTCTTTGTTCATCCCACCACATTGCGACAGAGCCATCCCCAGAAAGCACCTCAATCAAATGCTGAATCTGAGTGGATACATACACAAATGCAAACACTGCAAACCAAGGGTCTGTGACCTGTGATCACATAAATAAACCAAAGCATGTTAGATTCAAGTAAGTAAGAAAGTTCATTTGATTATATTATGTAATAGTGCAAGTGTGAATATGAAGTCTCAATTGAAAAAGACTAAAAACGTTAAGTAATATATAAGAAAAATTCCTAAATTTAATGTCTTAAAGGTTTTGAGTTAAAAGATTTGTTTGTATAAAATTTTTCAAAAACTTTTATGAGAAAAAAAATAGAGAAAAAAAATTCGAAATAAACTTATTTATAAGTTAAAACTAACTGATACATAAATTAAAAATAAAATTTTAAAAAGTGAATAGGAGAAAACTTCTATAAATTAGCTTATGCAAAAACTAATTTTAACTTGAAAAATTTATTTCATTTTTTTTTCTTAGAAGTGTTTTAAGAGAAGTTTACTCGAGCAAGTTCTATGTCATATTTACTTGTGTGGTTTGTTTGTTCATTGTGCATTGATGAAATGATTATATATAGAATAGTAAAATATTGATTGTATAGGAAATTTACCTTTGGAAAGACAGGGATTCCTTTGAGGAAGCATACTTGAGGAACAATGCCATAAAGGATGAAGACAATAGCATACAAGGATGAGGTTGTCAAGAAGCAATAAGTGAAGGTATGAAATATGGACATTCTTGAAAATCCATAAGTGAAAGGGCTGTACTTGGAGACACCAAGCAAGCAAAGTTCAGACAACCACTTAACCAACTGAAGCATGCCTTCCTTGATGTCAGTGGGGGCACACCCTAAGAAACATGGCGTCTTTGGATAAAGATATGCTGATTTCCATCCTCTGCAGTGCAAAAGATAACCAGTGATAGTACTTTCTAGTAAGATGCCATATGAGAATCCAACCTGCAATTTACATTTGCAAAATCATCAATGTTTGTCCACAATAAGCATCTAATTTAAGATTAATTGAAAACCAAATATGTAAATGTGTTGCTATATACATATTATAAACACTTGCCTCTGTGCCCCAATTTGTGTTTGTCTCGTAGGAGCAAGAGGCCACTACTTGAGCTTCTCTTAACATTTCATCTCTTGAAATATTCTTTTTGGTAGTTTTCTGTCCACGGATGGCCTTCAGTGATTCAGTGTATGCGGTAGAGTTTCCAAAGTACTTTTCTGCATCTAGCAGATAGTCATCTACAATCAAAGATTATAAAAAAGGTAATGAATATTAAGCTGGTTGAATTCATATCAAGAGAAAAACAAGGTAGAAACTATGTAATACATGAACGCTAAAAATATAGAGGTCATGTATACCTTTTTGGTTTGGACTTCCAAATAGTAAAGCACTTCTACTCAAGTAATTGCCGCTGCCAGAAAGACCAGGACCTCTTAGTCCATCCATGCCTTGCCACATTGTCTAAAGGAAATTACCATATCATTATTGGACAAATGATAAAATAAAACAGACAACCAGTAGTGAAAGGAAATTCAAAAGTAAAGGGTCTAATGATTTGCATGATTTACCTTGAATGCAGTTCTAGATTGATTATCATAGATGTCTTTTTTGCTAAGGTTGTGAAACATTTGAGGGAATTGAACAAATGCTATGTACTTAGAGGTTTCAGGATCAAGAAAGAAGCACATGGCTTGTTTGGCAGAGGTTGGATCATTGCAATACATATCACAATCCACTGCTAGAACATAAGGTCCGTTACTGATTAAGCCCGAAACTCTGAGCTGCAACCACATTTGATGAAGTGCTACATTGATTATTAAGCAAGAAATTCATAAATGAAAAGAAAATAGAAATTAAACTTTAATAGTACACACCAATGTGTTGAGGGCTCCTCCTTTGAATTTGTGTGGAAGGGATGGCCTTCTTTCGCGAGACACATAAACAACACGTGGCATTCCCGGTTGGTCATTTATAATCTAAATACACAGGAAAAAGAGACATTACCAACTAGATTTCCTTGTCACATTCTGTTTATTGTTAATTAATTGGATCCGAAATCAAGGTTCATGACTTTGGTTTAAGCATTATTTGGTTCAATAATAGTTTGTTTATAAATTTGACTGATTCAGTCAACCAATCAAATTTCAACTTAAGAGATCTTATTGATTTAATATTTAATTCAATTTTTAAAATATTTAGTCTATTAAAAAAAGAATATTAATTTAGTAATGAAAACATACATCAACTGAGATTATTGTTTAAATAATTCATAATCGAATTAAACAATCCAACAAATCTTGGTTAGTTATTTTTCCATATAATAGTTACATTCATTTTTATATATTGAGAAATCATATCATTTAAATAAGCTGACTTGAAGAGACCGATAAAATTATCATTTTTTTAATTAGAGTATTATGAGTCAATTGTATGAAAAGGTAGATTATAAAAGAAGTTAAGATTTTCAATTTAAATACAAATAAATAATTTAATAAATTCAACGATTGAAACTCATTATTATATAATTATAATATAAGAAATACCACTTTTTAAGTGTCCACTTTTTGTTTTTTTTTTAATTTTATTCTTTAATTATCATAAAAAAAAAAAAAAAAAAGCTAACATTTTTTTAAAGGAGTATTCATTTTTCTAGTAATAATATTAAATTATATTTAAATGATATATACCAGAGAGCGTTCAAAGCCTCAAAACATTAACAATTATAATTATGCATTTTTATTTTTATCATGAAAAATAACTCTTCAGAATAGGAGAGCCAAAAATCTCATACCTGTTTGATATCGTATTATTAAAAAAAACAAAAAAAGATTCGAAAATAGTTTCTGATGTAATGGTATAACTTAGTTACTGGACCACAAATGTCAGTCAACGATACACATACCTCAATACGAGGAGGTCTGTCACTAACAATACGACGATTTTGGGGGTCCGAACCAAATTTGTCGATATTTTTCTGCATTTTCTCATATTTACCCTGTAAAATGGTAAAACACCCACGTGAGCTAAAAAATATTAAGAAAAATTATGCATGCACACCCTCATGCTATGTGATACCTAGATAGAGAGGGAGATAGAAGAGAAAAAAAAATACGATATGATAATAACATGAAGATAAACAGAATTTTTTTTTATGAATATGAAATAATCGAATCAGATATTGAAATTAAGAATTTGTTTAAATAATTTTCTTTAAAAACAATTATAAGATAGCAAAATAGAAAGAGAAAATAAAACAATTTTTTTATATAAATTAAAATTAATTTATTCATAAATTATTTTTAAAAACTTTAAAAAAATTTAAATCATATTTTAAATTCATGCATAAGTTAATTTTAATTTATTAAAAAATTTACTTTTATTTTTTTTATTAGTTTCTTCTTCTCTAAAAGTGTTTGGTTAAACAAGCTCCTAAAATGTCTCAACCTACCCATTCATATTAATATATAAAAAATAATAAATATTAGTTATCTTTAATTTATGAGTAAGAAAATATATTTAATCTTTAATTATATATTTTTTTCTAAATCTAATTTTGAGATTAAATACTCCAATTTTTTATTTTATATAATTTAAAATATTTCAATTCAATGTCCAACACAACAATCTAGTGTAGTTGTAATCAAGTAAAGTAAGTTTAGTAATAATAATTTAGCGAAGGTATATGATCCAATTAAGGATGTTAAAGAGGCGAAACGGATATGTATAGTAACCCCTACTACCTGTCTTGCTAGATAAATATTTACCTTATCTTCGTATTTGTGTTGATACCTGTTAAGTGAATATTTATATATATATATATATATATATAGATATATTTAAAAATTTTGCAAGTATCCACAAATATCATGGATATTTATTAAAAAATTATAGATGATTTTTAATAATATTTTTTTATTTATTTTAATAATTTCTTTAAAAATAATAATTTAAAAATTAAAACTTAAATTATTCAAACATTATACACACTTTTATTAATCAAGATTCTTCAATTTAAAAACTAAACTTAAATGTAAATACGTTCAATCTCATAAATTTAAACAAATTTAATAAAATAAAATACTTTAATTTCATAAATCTATAATAAAAATTAAAATATTTTAATATTTTAATCTCACAAATTTAAATAAAAAAATTTAAATAATATAATATTCATTACCATCCTCATTTATTAACGGATACAAATATATCTATTTGATTATTTAAATTATCTACGTATATTTATTTAAGTATTTATTTATTATTCATTATGAATTTTATACAAAGACAAAAAAATTTTATCATCCGCAGACCTAATCAACTTGACCATTTTTAACTGATCAATTCAATTTCAAAATCCCCATAAGCCTGTTTTCACCCCCTAGAAACGAAATTGAAACAAAATGATTTCTCTTTTTGTCTTCTTTTTTAGAGGATTTCTCTTTTTGTTTTAAAAAATATTAGATTAAAAATTTACATTTTTAATTAGTATAAAATTATTTTTAATATAATAAATTATATTTCTACTATCTCATTCATTCATTCAAACAAACAAACATATACAATTATTTTTTTTCTCCTATTTTATTCATTTTAACAAAATATATTTTTTTATTCCAAGTTTTTTTCCCCCTATTTTTATACTTCCTTTTTCTTTTCTTTCATATTTCCTTTATTTTAGTATTTCACTGGATCCAAGGAAAACATTAAAGATACAACCCGGAAAGAATATTCAGCATTCTTTCCCATAAAAAGTTAAAACTAAAAACATCCAATAGTGGACCAACCCCAATCCAACCTATGCATACTCAACTGTGTTGACGTCACTTCTTTTTGCCTCAATCTTATTCTTAACTACTTTACTCATTGAGAGTGAATTATCAGCAATATAAACTGAGAATCGAACACCAGACAGAAAAAAGAAAAACAATATGATATAAAAAGTATGTTTCGATAAAAAATTTGTAAACATTTAAAAAATACAATAAAATAAATTCTTTTATAAACTAAAACAATTTTAGCTAAAAGTATGAAATGGTTTTTAATTAAGCATGTACTTATAGAAACTCATAATATACCTTGATGAGTTCTCTTTGAGCCATGAATCCATCGTCACGAAGAAGTTGTTCATGGTCTCCCATGGGAGAGAAGAAGACCTTGGGACATCTCGACTTGACTCCATACTTTCTGCAGAAAGGAAGCCACTCCTTAGCGAACTCAGAAGCCTCTTTCATGGCATACAGCGTCACCGGGCACCCACCGTCGTCCGAAAGATACACGGCAAGCTTATCAGAGGGATAGTCCATGGCCATGGCGGAAACAACCGTGTCCATCACCTCCTCGGTTGGCTCCTTTTCGGGGTCGAGCGTGCACACAAAGATGTCAAGCCCCGGCAAGTGGTCCTCCCTCGGCAACTTCTCCGGCATGACCGCCCGCGACACCGGGCGCCACCGGAAGGCTTGGTTGAAGAACCACAGCATGGCCAGAATGAGCTCCGCCACCGTCATGAGAAGCCATGCTGCAGTCGGCGGTTCCCGGAGCAAGTGGCTTATGCGGTAGTAACACAGAGACAACACTGCCACTAAGTGGATCACTATGTGAACTCTGCTTAGGGCTAGCCATGACTGAACCGTTTCTACGTGGTAAGTGAAGGTTGCCATCTTTTCTTTTCGTTTCTATTTTTTTCGCACACCCATCAATATTTATAGAATACCTCGTCGCTGTATCTTTAATTTTTTTTTTTTTAAAACAGACATTCTTATTCCAAAGTTAATAATTAATCCTTAATCTGTGTTTAATTAAGATATGTTTAGGAAAAATAAACAAAACAACACTGGGTTATTAAGTGCGTTACCAATTATGTGTTGTGCGGAATTGACGTTCTTCAATTGATTTTGTCGTCATCACGTGGAAAACATTATTTTTAAACTCCTCGCGTGGAACTCGCTCTAGCATTATTTTATATGAGGAAGATAAATTGATTTTTGGTCCTTTAAATTTAAAATTATTATTTTTAGTCCCTGTAATTTTTAAAAATCTTGTTTTAGTCCCTTAGGTCACCAATAATATATTTGAAAGTGACTAATTAAGACAGTTATGCAATATCAACCGAATTTAATATGATATTTTCACTAATAAAGATACCAATAGGTAGATTTTATGCAATAATATTTGATAAATTTTTTAAGAAAATTTGAATATAAGGACTAAATTAAGATTTTTTGAAATTACAGAGATTAAAAACAACAATTTTAAATTTGAGGGATCAAAAATAGATTTATCCTAAATTTGAAGGACTAAAAACATATTTAAGCCTTATTTAATTTATTTTTATAGCTTTTATACTTTATTTTTTAACTACTATGCTGTCATATGAGGAAGTGTATCCTTATTTTATTATCGAGGAAGTGTATCCTTATTTTATTATCTTATCGTTGTAGCATTATAATTATTGAAATTAATTAATGTATTTTCCTGCTATTGCCCTCAAGTCGATGACATTTTTAACATCTCACCGTATTTTAGAAATTATCTAATTTGACATTTATTAAAGCACTACTAGAAGTGTCATTTTTCTGCAAATTTTTCTACAAAAAAATTTTTGCAAAAATTTTTTTGCAAATTTTTCAGCAAAAAAATATTCGCATAAATTTTTTTGCAAATTTTTTTGCGAAAAATAATTTACAGATATTTCTTACAAATTTTGCTACAATTTTAATAATCATAGAAATTTTTTTCCATAGTAAAAATTTGCAATATTGTAAGAATTTTATTTTGTTTCTTGCAGATTTTCTTGCAAAAATAAATTCGCAAGTAATGTTTACTAAATGGTAAAAAAATCTTGCAGGTAACTTTTCCTGCAAATTTTAATCCGCAAGAAAAATAAAAAAAAATATTTAAATTTATAAGTTTAATATTTTAAAAAAACTTCAAGTCCCACATCGATTGAAAATAAAACAATTAAAGAGTATATAAGTTGAGGGCAACACTTACCTTACAAGTTGATTTGTATGGTTGAGTGTTAGACTTATAATCTACAATCTTAGAATTTAAAAGATTATGTATCACATGTTGGAGACATGGAAATAAATGCTTCTTGATAGAATTTATAGTAATTTTTTTAATTTTTTTTGTAAAAAATATTCCTGCAGAATTTCTTGCAAAAACATTCGCAGGAAACTTTCCTGCAAATTTTCCTGCGAATTTTTTTTTTGCAGGAAACTTTCCTGCAAAATTTTTTTTTCAGGAAAATTTCCTGCGAATTTTAATATTCGCAAAAATATATTATCCACGAAGGTATTACCTGCAGATAAAATTTCGCAGAAAAATTTGTAGGAACAACGTTTCCTGCAAATTTTTATGAAAAATTCGCAGGAAAAGTCGCATGTAATAAGAGAAATTCTAGTAGTGAAGTCTTTATATGAATTTTTTATATGATGTAGATGAATTATAAATGTATAAACCTCTCTTGCACTTTTTTTTTGGTATTAATATGTGTACCGTCTCGGCTTACATCTGATACGGCTTGTAGGAAGATGACCGAGACCCCTTTCACCTCGTCATGTGGTTGTACTCGACAAAAGCCCGACCTGATTCTACCACGAGGGTGAACCCGATCGAAATCCGACCTGACCTTGCCACAAGAGCGAGCTCGGCAAAAGTTCGACTTTATCTTGTCACGTGGGTGAACTCGGCAAGAGCTTGATGCTACTCCTCTACATGGAGGGGACTCGGATAGAGTCCAAACAAACCTTCCCACGTAGGTACTGATCTGGTAGCAAAGATAAAATCATATCATTAATGATGAAATATTTCCATATAAAAACTGTCATAAAATTCTTCGCGTTCACGAGGCCCATGAGGCCCATGGACGAGATAGTATAAGACCTAAAACCCTAGAGCTAGGAAGGCAGATTACACTCTTGAATGCTCTGGCTCAGAGGCTTGACCTAGGAAAAAATCATAGTCCATCCTTTGGCTGGAACAATATGTAACCTGAACCATAATTTGAAGTTTCACGAAATATTTAAAATTAACATTTAGGATTAAGAAAGATTATTTTTTTTTATCAACATGATCACACAGTGTTTTAAAATTAATAATCAAGAACTAAACTGTTCTTGTAAAACATGATTTTTACTGACTAATTGGTTAATTTAGGATTTGATAGATGTTTTAACCCAAAGTCTAACTGGTTAGTCTGAAGGTAGAAACTGAACTTGTCGGTTAACCTATTGGGAGTTTCATAATTGAGTCACAATGCACTTTCAGAAGAATTTATAGTTTATTTTTTGACTAAGAGAAAATTGCAGATTGGAGAACCTTGAAAAGTAGGGTCAGTTGTATTTTTTTTTATATTTCAAAAAGTTAATTTATTCAAGAAATTATATTAAATTTAAATTTAAATTTAAAATTCTTATTTTATTAATTACTGTTTTAAACCATAATTAATATTAGTTTTAATGAGATAATATTTTAATCATTGTAGTTTTAATTAATTTAAATTATCAAACATTTTAAAATTATTATTTTTAATTCTTTTGATTAATTATAGTTAGAATAGTTAGTCCCCTTCTATAAATATCGAGAACTAGTAAGAGTTAGAGACAACGAGTAACACTCTTTTTTCTTTTTCTTTGTGCTTTTTCTTTTCTAAGTTAAGAATTTGTCAGTTCTACATCATTAGTCTACATCCTCATTCTCAAAAGATCATGTTATATCCTAAGACTATGTTGTATCCTAAGACTTATGCAAAATCTCCAGATAAGTTCTTTAATACAATGCATTACACGGACATAAAAAATTAGATCAGATTGTGTTCTTAGTATCCATAGGCAGTAATCTAAAAGCATGGGAGTGCAACAACAAAGGAGAAGGACTTACAACGCTGAGCATGGTGACCACAGTGACAAAGGAGAATGCAAAATGTGTATTGTTACAGCTGTTGTAGGTAAAGGAACTTATTATTTGCTAAAGCACCTTCTACCCAGATGGAAGTTATTAGGAACTGTTTAAATTCATTTTGTTTTGATTTTGGTCAGAAAGTTTCTATTGCCAAAATCGTATTGCTTGCCTCACAGAATGTGCATCATTAGTGTGCAATAGACCTTAGTAATATGTTTGGGTTTACCTTGACAGGGGTTCTTGGTAAATATTTAGGTGTTTCTTTGATTCATTGGAGGAAAAAGAGGCAGATGTATGATTATTTGGTGGAAAAAACTCAATGGAGATTGAGTAGCTGGAGGGCTAATTCCCTACCCTTTGTTGGACGGTGTACTCACTAGTGGAAAATTAGTATATTACGTCACCCCTTTTACGTCAGAAATACTAAAATCTGACGTAAAAAAACGCAGTGGCATTTTTGTAATTTTTGCGAACTTTTTTACGTCGGACCCTACCAGGTCCGACGTAAAAAAGGACGCAAATTTGAATAAGAGAGCGCGAGGCACACCGCGCCCATTCACTCTTCATCACTTTTCATTTTTTTCTCTCTAAATCCTCTCCCTCTCCTTTGTTACTGAATCATTTTTTTGTTTTTTGCAGAGGGATGAACTTTTTGTTACTCATCTGCACATTATTGTTGCTTCTCAGGTATGAATCAAGGCACTTTTCTACTTCGCATTGCTACTCTAGCTATCTGTTTTATTTGATTTTTTGGTTGTTCTATTTGTATAGGTAGTGGGCGTTTTCTTTTGGGTTGTTATACGAAGCAGAATGGCTTGTTCAGCAAGCAGAACGGCCCGTTCTGCAAGCAGAACGCCCCGTTGTTCTGCTGGCATTTTTATGTTTTTTTTTTGTTTTTTTCCTACTTTTTTACGTCGGATGTCTTAATGTCCGACGTAAATTTACGTCGATTTTGAAGATCCGACGTAAAATTTACGTCTCCCGCTTCTACGTCGGTACGTTTTCTGACGTAAAAAGCTTAAAATGTCCGACGTAATACACCTCTTTTGTACTAGTGACTTTATCCAAGGCGATGGTTGTTGCTTTACCTACTACATACACAATGCAAAGTGTCATTCCATTGCTTGGCACAATTTTTGTTTACCGAAGCAAGGTGGGGGGCTGGGATTTAAAAATCTTTACCAGTTTAATCGAGCTTTAATCATGATGTTAGAATGGGGTTTAATTCATAATCCTCAAGCATTTTGAGTCAGGGTGCTACAAAGTAAGTATAAGTGTGTTGATCATGTAATTCCAATTGTCATGGCTAACCAAACTGTATCTGATACGTGGAAGAGTATAACTAGTATTTGGGACTCAATTTTACTTGGTTGCATATGGTTGATAAGTGTTGAACTCACATACATGTACAGAGATGCACACAAAGGTACTGAAAAATGATAAAACTGAATATCATGATGAGAGGAGGAAGAGGAAAGGAAAAGTGAATGACTGAAACATGCATCTTTGTTGTATTATTTTAGAATGACAAAGCCAATATATATATATAAGGGAAGGAAAATAGAAAATAAAAAAATAACTAACTATATACGTCATACAAATCCAATACCCCTCTCAAGATGGGAGGAATATGTTCTCAACTCCCAGCTTGAACAATATGTTAAGAAACGCAGTACGGGGTAAGGACTTAGTGAAGATATCAGCTAGCTGATGATGTTTTCTGACATTGATTAACTTGAGAGCACCTTTGTCCACTTGTTCCCTAACATAATGAAGATCAATTT